CTGCCTCAGAAGCTAGTGACTTATGTGTCACCATCAACATAACTCTATAGCCTGACTGCCCACTTGGTGACCCTAAGAACTAGCATTTGCCTAATGCTCTCAGATGTCACGAGGCTCTCTCACATGTGTCATTTCATATGATGACCATGACAATCCAGCCAAGGAGATACTTTCATCCTCATTTTATAGATGAGATCAGAGAACAAAGCCACTTGGCCAAGCTCATAGAGCGATGAGCAGAGATGGAGGACCTCACCCCAGACCTGACTGGTGCCAAGCCCAGTGCCTTGCCAGGACACAGCTGCTCCTCTGTCACAGATGCTTATGAGGGAGATTCTTGAACCAGGGAGCTGACTGGTACAACGGTTTCTAAACTCCCTTCCAATTCTAATAGTCTGTGGCTCTATCAATAAAATGAGGGAGCTGGATTAAACCAAGAGTTTTAAAAAGTTCTTATAGCAGAAAAGATCCTTTCCCCTCAAATGACATCTACTGTACAATGCCAAAATATAAAACATGTCATTAAAGCTCCCCTCTGGTTGAAAAAGAGATGGCTTCCACCCAACTATTCATCAAGTGACAAGTGGATAATAAAATGTGATAAATCCATATAATGGAATATTATTTGGCCATAAAAATGAATTAAATACTGATCCATGCTACAACACGGGTGAAGCTCAAAAACATTGTACTAAGTGAAGGAAGCCAATCACAAAACACCGCATATTGTGTGATTCCATGTATATGAGGTGTCCAGAAAAGGCAAATCCAAGGACAGACAGAATGTCAGAATGTTGGTGGAGGGGTAAATGAGGAGTGACCGCTTAATACAGACAGGGTTTCATTTTGGGGTGACAAAACATTTTGGAACTAGAGAGGGGTGATGGTCTCTCAACACTGTGAATGTACTAAATGCCACTGAGCTGCACACTTTTAAGTGGCTAATTTTGTATTATGTGAATTTTACCTCCATGTATGTGTGTGTATAGATATGCGATGGCTCCAGAGTCCCACCCCATTAGCCTCCCCCTTTCCATGTTCCTACAGTGCCTCCAAAGAACCCTGGAATGAAAATCAATAGAGTCACTAGATATTATAAAATGTTATCGTGGGCCGGCTGGGTGGCTCAGTTGGTTAGAGCAAGAGCTCTGAGCAACAGCGTCACCGGTTTGATCCCCACATGGGCCAGTCATCTGTGCCTGAGCTGAGCTGCTGCTGAGCTGCCAACAGGTGACAGGATGGCTCAGTTTGTTAAAGAACACTCTCCTAACAACAAGGTTGCCAGTTCGATTCCTGCATGGGCTGTGTCCCCCTCCCCACTTCCCCCGCAATTAGACTGAAAGCAGCAACTGAACTTGAAGCTGAGCTGCGCCCTCCACAACTAAGATTGAAGGACAACTGGACTTTGAGCTGATGGGTCCTGGAAAAATACAATGTTCCCTTCCCCAATTCTCCAACAAAATCTTTAAAAACAACAAAAATGAAAAAAAAAAAGCTATCGTAGTTCCAAATAGTTCTTATGAGATAGCTATTTTATTCCTTCAGGGGCCAAAGGTGTTTTCTCCTAACCCAACAAATAAAGATGCTGGGGTCAGTGACATCTTGCTACTTGAAAACAGAGCTTTCCATCAGCAACCACCTTCAATGTCAATTCTAGTCCACAGTGATCGAGCAGTTCCACTTTTAGGATATGTCAGTGGTTTTAAACTCAAAATTCTACTTAAAGTATACTAGGAAAGCAAGTGGTAACTAAGCGTCATTTTTGTTTGTTTTTTCATGTTTGAGTAGATCATTTTATTGCTGAGTAGTAAACTAAGCATTACTCAGTGCATTCTATAGTAAAAGTTTTTCACATTATTTCATTTAAATAGTATTATTCTCACTTTATAGAAAAGGATGCTGAGGCTCAAAATAGCTCTGCTACATCCCTGAGGTCAGGATTTGAATCTCAGTCTCTGCGGCTCAAGGAAAAGCTCTGTCAACTATGCCAAGATGGGCATCAGCAGAGTCGCAAGTTCCTCGCCTCACAGAAGGCATGAGGACTGATTTCAGTCCCTCCATGACACTGACCTCAGCCTACAGGCCCCCGAAGTGTGTGAAGATGCATGACGCATGGACACAGGCGTCTGGTGCCCTTCGAAGGCGCCACTGCATCTTCTTAGAGTGGTTCACAGGTATGAGGCGTTCAGGGCATCTATCTCCATTTCTCCCTTCAGTCTCTTCAGGGAAAGTGAAGGCCACTTCAACGGTCTGGCTGACAAACTGCCCTCAAGAAGGAACTAATGAAGGGACACTTCAGACCCTCTCTTGCTAAAGAGCTGAAGGGAACAGCTAGCATGCCATGTGTTTTAAAAGGTTTAGGTCAGGGGCGGCCGGCCGGTTAGCTCAGGTGGTTATAGTGCAGGCTCATCACACCAAGGTTGCCGGTTCAATTCCCACATGGGCCACGGAGCTGTGCCCTCCACAACTAGATTGAAGACAGCTACTTGACCTGGAGCTGATGGGTCCTGGAAAAACACACTGTTCCTCAATAAAATTTCTTAAAAAAAAAAAAAAGGTTTAGGTCAGATCCTATGCAAATGCAGGAAACTCTCGCTTCCAAAGGTAACTCCCAGCCTAGAAGTCTATGTGACATCATTTTCTGCAGTGAGAGTGACATGGTCTCAGATTTGGGCACATATGGTTCTGCAATGCAACGCTGCATTTTCTGTGGGCATAAATATGGTGATTTTTTCCAAGTCATTCTGAACCGTTTCTACACAAAGGAGTTGAGAATAATTTCAGCCTTTTTCTCTGCATGCTGGTTATCAAAATGATAATAATAATCCCTTACACATAAAGGCACCTTACAGATTCCAGAGGGCTTTCATGGAAAATCACTGCTGGGTTTTAAATTTTAAAGAAAGATGAAATTAAGGGAAAATGTCAGTAATGGTATGTAGCTATTAACATCTACCCTTAATATTGTAGGTAAGAAAAGGGTGAAATGAAAACGTTCTTATATTAGAATGGAAGTCAGGTTCTTGAAGTTCTAACTGTTCCTGGTTATCAATGTTAAAAAAAAAAAGTCAGTGCTTTCGAAATTAAAGAAAAGGTGCTACTACTTATGACTTCATACGTTGCAAATGCCTTTCCCATGCTTCCCAATGGTCCTGTGCCCACCACGATTACATTTTAGATCCGCAGCTCATGTGGATTATACAGAATGTCAGGTTTAGGTAAAGAAAAACAACAAGGACAAGCAAAAGAAGGCTAATCATGTTTTGACACCATTTAATAGGAAAACACAGCAGTACCGTCACATCTCTTCATGTTTTTGGTGGCACCTTAAATTCAGAAGCCTCCGGTCACACAGCAGCTTTTGAACTTGTTCCCACCAAAGGAGTCAGAATGCTAATGGGTCAAGGTCATCTTCCAAAAGCCATGCCACAGTGCCATGCTAGCATGGATCTCCACCCAAATCTCCCCACAGTGCCACACAGTCTCTGCAGATCTAACCTCTACTGATGAGATCAATAACCATTAGAGAGCAGATTTTTGAGGAATGAGTTGTATTGCAATTAATCTGACCAAGCTGCACTAACCCACTGCTTTTCCTTAGAGATGGCTAACGAAAGCAGCCCCACGCATGCACGAGTGGACACTGTCCACCATGGTGTTTGGGTTGCACATGGATTCACCAGACCTGACACACCACCGCTTAGAAGCTCTAACGAGCAGAAGCTACATCTGGCAAGACCAGCCCGGACAAACTACCAGTGAACGCTCTTAGTCGAGTCTTGCCAACAATGACGATCTGTGCCTCCCACGGTGAAGAGCACTCTGGAGGACAACTCAGCCAAGCAGGCCCCATCCAGCCTGACTCAGAGTATGACAAACACTCCTTCAAAGTGACATTTCCTGCAGGGCAGTCGCACTCAACCTTGGCTGCACGGTAGAAACATCTAGGGAACCTCAAAAAATTGCTGTGGTCCAGCTTCCAGCCAAGGCTAATTAAAATCAACACCCCTAGAAGTGGGGGCCCTCGCAGCGCTGTCTCTGGAAGCTCTCCAGATGGTTCTCATGTGCAGCCAAGGGGAGAAGCACTACTGGAGGGTGATTCTAACAATATTTGGGCTTGAGCCCAGTTGGTGAGGGGCCGCGGTAGAGGAAACTGCAAAACCCCGCTTGCTTAGGGAAGTCGGCGTTTCCCACAGTCTTGAGCCATAGCCGACAAACGCTTCCTGGCTGGGAGCATTTGGGTCATCCTGATTTGTCGGGGATACAAGGGGTGCTATTTGAAATGCCTGTCTTTGACTTTTCTGCCGAAAACCGACACAATGATATTTACCCAACTCTTACACTTGGTAAGAGAGCCAGGAATCTGATAGAAACAAAACAAAATACCCAAGTGAAAAATCATTCATTTCAGGGCCGATTCCATGGAGGGAGGGGCAGGGCACATACTCCCACCAACAACCCGGTATGACGTCCACCAGGTGGGTGGGAAGAAGAGGAATTATAACTGCTGTAAATATTACAGAACTGCCAGAAGTTCATTAAATTGGCTGCAAATGTTGAAACCAAAAGCTTATACTGCAAGTGTCAACATTATGAAGAAAATGAAAAGAAAGTGGTCCTCACCACGCCCATGTTACCAGTCGCCCTCTTCTCCACTGTTTGACTCGCTCCCACATGTGAGGATTTCTAAGAGCAGCATCACGTGAACAATGGTGGGCGAGAGGAGACCCTGTCACTAGGGGAAGGTGGGTTTTCAGAAGAGCCTTTCCAGATTCAGGTAACAAGCAGCTAGAAATTCATATCTAAGTCTCCATCTCCTGACTGAGTCACTGTATTGGGAGGCTGATATTCACAAATGAAAATACTAAAATATGATTTATTAGGTTATCTAATATGAAAATCTCACTCATGATGTTAACATGTTCTAAGAACTTAACTTACCTGTGTAGGGCATGGGGAGCAGAGCTGGGAGAGAAATAAATGATATAAAAAGTACTTACTGGTTCTCTCGTTTCTTCTTAAGTGGGTCCATGAGGCGCAGAGTGTCTCTGATCACGGCCACTTTCACTTCTTCATCAACAAGGCTGGGGACATTTTCAAACACCCCTGGAGAAAGCTTGAATGGGTAAGAATTCCATGTTATAGTGGTGAGATTCAGGGACTCAGTGCCAAGTGACTATGAGTATCCAATCCTCCCATTAGCTCTGGTGGTTGTACTGTTAGATTTTGCCTCTGTTAATCTATAGGCGAGACTATTTTAAAGTCTCCCTGTTTACTACTTTAAAAATGTCAGTTTCCTTTTACAAATCCTTTGACAAAAAAACAAAATACACGAAGAGGAAAAATAGTACTGTTTTTCTGATTATTGAAATTATACATGCTTGTTGTAGAAAATTTGGAAATTAGAAAGGGGTTAAGAAAATTAAAAGGATCCACATAATCCCTCTAAAACCCATTATTAGTACTGGGTGTATTTCCTTCTAGTCTTTTTTATGCATTTTTTTTTCAGGAGGAAAAAAAATACCACCACTGTGAAATGTACTATTTATCTTAGCAATTCAAGCATGTCGACATGGCTAAATCATATTCATAGAATTTCAATTAGTTCATCTCCTGAGGCTAACTAATTAGTTCATGTCAAAACTGATGGAAAGGCTCAGCTGCTTCTACATTTGCAGATCTTAAAAATGGGACGAATGGCATGATGGGAAATTACCATAGGTCAGATAGGTCTTATATTAATAGACTATGTTCAGAGTTCAACAAAACCGAAATTATTTAGACTTGGACAGAACTTTGCTGTGCAAATCTGGGAATGCTGAATCTCGTTTGGCCGAGTGAATAACATGAGAGTGGAAACGCTCAGTTGTATGACAATATATTCAACGAGATACCCAAAAGACTTACTTCTTGCTCATGTTCGATTCTCATGCTGGGATTTGCATTCACTTCAAGTAGTATAGGCTTCAGGTTTTTCATTAGAAGAATGTCAAAGCCTAAAATCTGGGCAGGATAAACATAATTCAGAATTACTCCCTCTAGTTATCATGTCTTTCTCAGGAATTGAGGATGGTAGCGGGGTCGGGAAAGTGACAATAAATTCAAACGTGGCCCCCACTCTGGGCCTTGACCCTGGTTTCTCTTGTCCACAGCCCCTCTTCCCCTGGGTGTACTTGTCAGGTCAAATGGACAGCAGTTTCCAAATAGGATGAGTTCCCATAGTGCATTTCAGCACTATTAGTGTAGTCTGATAGCGCTATAAGATGATGACCTCTTTCTTCTTTAACAGGTTTTTTATTATGTTAAGGATCAGCAGTAGCCCATCCATTTCTCCCTCTCCTTTTGCTCTTCTCTATTAAGTTGCTTCTGAGCGAGATCTCTTAAAACCCAAGGCTGCCTTTCTTAACCTTGGGTGTACATCAGTGTCACTTAAGGACCTCTTTCAAAACCACTGCTCATCCCTAACCCAGGCCTATGAGTCAGAATCTTTCAGAGTGGAACTCAGGCAAATGTACTTTGAGTAACATAATAATCCCCCAGGTGATTCTGATATACCATCTTAGCTAAGAAAAAGCACCTACTAGGTACCAGTTATTCATAATCTCGTTTAATCCTTGTGACGGTGTATTTGAAGTTGGGATTATGCTCTCCATTATATAGAGGCAGAAACTGAGCCTCAGATAGACCAAGGGATTTCCCTAAGACTACCTAGCTGGTAAGTGACAGAACTGGATTTCACAGCCAAGCAGGACAGGCTACATAATCTGTGGGATCCAGGGCAAGATGAAAATGCAAAGCCCTTTGCTTGTTCAAACAGTACTAACAAAGTCATGATAGTGACAACAAAGCATTAAACCAGGCACGGAGCCCTTTGGACCATGGGGCACTGGGACTGCACAGACCACATGTCCATGAAGCCAACACACCCAAAGCTAACTCTGACGCCACCTGTTGGACATCTGCTCTTGAATTCAGCACCTCAGGTGAGGCTTTCTCTTCTGGACTCTTTCAATTCCTCAGCCACCAGTTCATCTCATTCCCTCTGCCTGAGACAACCCTTCCCCTAGATAATTCCTCCTCATCTTTGAGATCAGTGGTCCTAATTAGATTCAGACTCAGACGATGAGAACGTCAGACTCTTGAGAGGACTCTTGTTATTTCCATAGGAGGTTGATAAGGTAGAAAGCTTCTAACACAATTGATACAATCCCAAAGTTTCAAACAATAATGTGGAGAATAAAGGAGAGAAAAGGAGATGATGTAGCTACACCCCCTCTGTGGACTCAAGAAGAAAAGATGAGGGGAAATTCATTTACTTGCCTATATAGAATATGCATTAGTTAAATGATAATTATTAAATGGTAGCTTCATCCTTATTAATGAAATCAGAGCCTAAATGACCATTTTGGAGGATAATTCAAGACAAGGTTATTCTTCAAAGAAGGGCAATAAGTATGAGAAGTTGGGAAAAGTCATCCTCACTCTATTTTTCTCTCCCTGGTCATGAAAAGAAAGGAATGGAAATTCAGTAGAAAATGTTACATGTATTATAGATCTGCTTAATAATATATGACAAGTGGATATGAGTGATGAGGCCTTTAAGAGGCTCTGGTGACATCATCAGTCTAACTTCAGACCTGGTCTGAGACATGTGATTTGATGAGGCTACAGAGAATGGCGTGCTGCGGTGCCAACATTTATCACCCTTAGTCATCAACGCTTACTTCTTGCTACATCTTAGAAGTTTGGACTTGGACTTGTTCAGCCTGGCAGAGTCTTCCCAGGTCAATGCACAGTGGTTCTGTGGATGTGAAGCTATAGGAGAGCTGGAGAAGCACAGTGGCAGTGCCTCGTCAGCCATGTTGACCTGCGCCCACTATTTTCCAGTGTGTGCACGTAGTTGACTACATTGGGTCTTGTACAGGAATACTTTGGGGTCAGAAAGACTTGGGCTGCAATCCCAGGTCAGTCTCCACTCTAGCTACACAACTCTAGGTGTGGTGCTTAGCCTCTCTGAGCCTGGTTTACCTCATCTAAGAAATGTAGTTAACAATGGCCATCTTGCAGGGCAGATGATAATGGAAGCCAAAAATACCTAGGATTATGTTCATCACATGGGAGGTACTCAATATATACCAGCTCCCTTTCTAGTTGCCTGCTAATCTCACCAACAAGAAATGGCATTTGTAGCTTTCAAGTCCAGAGGAGGTAATTTCCAATCTTAGTTCTGCCTTTAACTTGTACAAGTATATCTACAGGCCAGTTATTTAGCAGCTCTAAGCCTCAGTGTCCTCATCTGTAAAATGGGAATAAGAATAGTCCTTACCTGCATCCATTCATTCATAAAATATTTACTGAAATGCTTCCTATGTCCTGGAGCTAGTCTAGCTTCTGGAAATACAGTGGTGGACTAGAGAAACTCCCCGCCCTTATGGGGCATACAGTCTATTAATAGTAGGGGAGACAGGATTAAATAAAGGTAATGTGATGGAAAATATTTTGTACAGTACCTGATGCATAGTATTTAATGAAAGTCAGCTTTATTATAGTTTTTCACAAGTTCAAGTAAATATAATTTTTTTTTCTTTTCAAAAGTTCAATGAAATATGTAGCACCAATGGACCTCCATAAACAGTCACAGCACTGGGAGGAGCTTAGAGTTGATCTTGTCATAAAATCTCAGAATGACAAAGCTGGCAGAAGATCAGAAATTTATTTGTTTCAGTGTTTTTCAAAATGGGGTTCTTTTCTAGCAATGCACTGAGGAGACCGGATCAGATCAACTTTTACCATTTTACATACTGGTTCCCTGAGAAAAAAGCTTTACATATATTTTTAAGAATTACTAACGTAGTCTAACACCCACTATATGCAGACCAGAAACCTGCAGCTTAGAAAGGGGAAAACTTCTCCCTGGTTTGGTGGCAGAGCAGGAATTGTCAAATGGAGAGAGAGAGAGGCTTTTTCAGTCACATTGTACTCTGCCCTCCTCCAAGTAATTTAATCAGCAATTATGTGTTGTGTACCTCCTACTTGAAGGGTACCCTGGGGATTCAAAGATATCTGTCCTTCATCCCTAACTTCTAGAAGCTTCCAAAGCAAGTTGGGAATAAAAGGGCCCTGCCCCATTAATTGTAAACTCATGCAAAGGCTCCAAGCTCCATTCCAATGAGAGGGGATTCTCTCCTGAGTTCCAGAACTACACATCCATCTGCATCCAAGGTATTCCCAGTTGGGAGGTCCCAGCCTCTTCAAATTCAACATATCCAAGCTCACTATCTGTGGTTGGCAGCATGGTCTCAATGATCCCCGCCTCCTCGTGTTCACACCCTTCTATAATCCCCTCTCCTTGAGTGTGGGCTGCACCTAGTAACTTCTTTCTAACAAATAGAATAGGACAGAAATAATGGGATGTCATTTCCAATATCAGTAATAAAAATGCTGTGGTTTCCATCTTGGGATGCATTCTCTTACTCTCTTGCTCGCTCACTCTGAGAGGTGCCAGCTTCCATGCTGTGAGCTGCCCAATGGAGAGGCAGCCAACAGCCATGTGATTGAGCTTGGAGGAGGATCTTCCCCTAGCCAAGCCTTGAGATGACTGCAGTCCCGGCCAGCATGTTCACACAGCCTCGGGAGAGACTCTGAGCCAGAGGCAGTCGGCTAAGCCTAGATCCCTGATCCACAGAAACTGTGAGGTAATACATGTCTGTTAGATTAAACTGCTAAGTTTGGGGGTAATTTGTGATACAGCAAAGATAATTAACACACCATCTTTCTCCAAAGTCTGCTGCGCCTCCAGTGTTCCTTATCCACCCAATCACACAAGCCAAAAATTTCTCCTTCATCCTTTATGTCAACCTGCACACCAACTCTTGTACATTCTACCTCCAAAGAGCTTTCTAGATCTGGCCTATCCTCGCTGCTCCTAGTCTGAATTGAGTCTTCACCATCTTGCACTTGGACTGCTTTAATAGCTTTCCCATTTGTTTCCTTGCTCTCAAACTCTCCCCTCTAAGTAATCTGGCACAAGGGGCTGCCACATTGTTTTTACAAAATGCAAACAGAATATTAACACTCCTCTGCCTAAAACCCCTGTCTACAGAATGAAGTCCAAGTTCCACAGCATGTCCTGCAAATTCCTCTACGACCTGGCACCTGTCTCCCACTCCAGCTTTATTTCCTCCCACTCACTACTGCACATCGTGGGCTCCAACTGTGCTCAACTATTAGTAGTTCTAGGATGCTTTACTCCTCTCTGCCTTTATACTATTTTGCCTGGAAGACAATTTTATTTATCAAATATTTAATGAGCACCTATTGAATATTAAGTACCGTTTTAGGTATTGAGGATGAAGAAGTGTCCAAGACAAAGGATGTTTTAACATCCTGCCCTCTGGGAGTTTACATTCTAGTAGAGGGAGACCACATGCAAGTTGACAATTAAAGCAAGGTAAGAACATAAGAGTGTGATGCAGTGGGTAGAGGGAGGTGTTGGTGGTTTAAACAGGATGGTCAGGGAAGGCCTATTTAAGGAGGTGACCTTTGTCATTCCATTGTCTTCTGGCTTGCACGGTTTCTGATGAGAACTTTTTGTGTATTCTTTGTTCCTCTGAACTTGATGTGCTTTTTTCTCTCTAGCTGCTTTTAAGATTTTCTTATCATCACTGGTTTTCCATAATTTGATTATGATAAGCCTTGATGTGTGCATGTGTGTGTATGTATGTGTCTCCTACTTGGAGTTTCTTAAGCTTTTTAGATTGTGGGCTTATAGCTTTTGTCAAATTTGGAAACTTTGGGCCATTTCTTCAAATATTTTTCTGTATCTTCCTTGTCTCTTCTGCTCAGGGAACTCCAATTACACATATGTTAGACCACATACTATTGTACTATAGGTCACTGATGGTCTGTTCATTTAGTTTTCCCGACATTGTCCTTTCTCTGTTTCCTTTTGGGTAGATTCTGTTGCTATGTCTTCAAGTTCACTGATCATTTCTTCTGCAGTG